GAAAAAGTATGATGTGATAGGTAGGGTTTGAAAAAGTAGGGGTAAAAGTGGTTTTTTTATAGAAAAGGGAAGTGTTTTAAGAAAAAACAAAAAAAAATGAAAGAGGAAGGGTTTTAAGAAACGGAGGGAGTATATAGTACGTACGTACGTAGGAGCCGGCCGATATATATATATATATATATATATATATATATATATATATATATATATATATATATATATATATATGATGTGGAGGGGTACTAATTAATTATTGGGTGACCATTACATCTTTGTTTACTTCATTATTATGTACCAACCCGTAATATATATATAATGTCTTTTCTACTATGTCTTCTTCTTCTTCTTTAATTAATTTCAGAGTAATTAATTAATTACCTTCTTTCTGCAATATACTCTATCACGCCATGCATGCATGCTTTCGCGTAATTAATTAATTTAATTTGATCCTTAATCATAGCTTTTTAAAACTAATTAATACTCCCTCATCCCTATTTGTTTGACACAATTCTAAAACCATGACAAAGTATCAAGTTTTTTCAATTCATTTTATTTAAATATTGGTATAGAAATAAAAAATAAAACTTATATATTTAAAAACTATATAAATAATTTTCAAAGTAAGATGTGTCAAGTGTCAAGGAACCCACTCAACCAAAAGCTCAAGCTTGTGGTTGTAGCTCAGGAATAATTGTTATATACTCTAACATCAAGAATATTTTATTTTATCAAATAATCAATAAAAACGTACAAATTAAAAAAAATTCCTGCGATTGTTGAAAAAAAGTAAATGTGGCATTCTTTTAGAGACAGATGGAATAATATGATTCATGCTAGAGGTACACCATTGATCATAGCCATTGGTCTTTTATTTATTTTTTAATTTTACTTTCCACACTTGAGATTGTGTAGTGGAGCTGAGGTGTGATACATTTTGGAGTACATTTTTTAGTATACTCCTAACATTTTCTGGAGTAATATAGCTCGATCTATCATGTTGGAGCTGAGTTCTGGTGTTTTCTTAACGCAAGTATTTAATTTAATGTGGCACATGTAATTAATATCCTTTGATTCCATATGTCCTTTATTAATTATTAGCTACCTGCAAAAGATATCTTTTTTCTTTTTTTAGAAATGGCTGGAGAAAGCATATGATATGCTCGTTTGGCTAATTAGGGCATGTATAAGTATGCATTGTACTCTCCACCCCTCTCTCTCTCTTCCTTTTGATTTACTCCGTTTGACCAATCTTTTTTTAATTATGAGATCGAATATTATGTGGTGAGGGGAGAGAACAATGGAACATGCAAACAATACAAAAATAGTATTCACATCAGGTGTTTGCTGTTGTAGTGTAATTGCCCATTACCCAATCTTCACATCCATAATTAAAGTCTAACACCTAGTCCAAAAAAATTGGTCAAATTGCATATACATCCACATTTTGAAATTTTTTATTTTTATTTATTTTTAGCTAATCATTCCATAAAATAAAATACTCTCTCCATTTCTAAAAAAATTCTATTTTGACTAATGTGTGAAATAAAGAGTATATATATTTGTATTTGACTTTTCAATTTTAAAAAAAGGATAAAAATAGTTTTTTAATAGAAAGTGTGTTTTAGAGATTGTGAAAAAATGAAAGAGGAAGTGTTTAGAAGTAAGAAACAAAGAGAGTATATATTTCACATCTTAATTTATTTTGTAAAACTTTTGATATATCTTCATTCATATATTTTTTTTTCATTTGATTTTCTCATGATCTCCAATACAATGCAACACTCTTCACAACACTCATATTGGATCAAAATATTCAGCACGATATTAGTATAAATAAATATCGTGCCATGTTCACGCCTACTCGATCGATATGAAAAATAAAAGTAGGGGTGTTCATCGGGTCAAATCCAGACCGAACCGGGACCAAATAAGGAACATTTTGGGGACCAAGGACCGGACCAAATAAGATAAGGATTGGCCTGAGGTCGGACCAAATAAATATGATTTTTTATTTTTAAAAGACATTTATTTATTTTATTTAATATAAAGTATTTAATCACACAAAATTATTACTATAAGGTTTTTTAATGTGCAACATACACTAAACATTGTCAAATACCATTATTTTAAATTTTTAAAAAATTTTAAATAAAATATACTCCATCCTTTTCCCGTTTTACGGAAAAATTGTTCATAATTTTTCTTTTACATAGAGAGTATTTCTTCTTCTTAATGTGTTTTTACTTTTTTGTAGTGTTTTTTTGTGTTTTCAATTTATTTTGATAAATAGACATTTGTTTCAACTATTTTTGTTTGAGAGATTTTTATAATGTTTATTTTGTTTATAAGAGTTTCATTATTAATAAAGTTCAAATTTAAGTTATAGTATTGGTACATAAATTTGAAGTCCATTAGATTCTAACATTAAAGTTTTTTTTTTACTTTTTTTCACTCTTTTCATATTAAAAAATCTTATTTCTTCTTTTGAATTGGACTAGTTTTTTAAAATGTTTATAAAATAAAAACATTACATTTGAAAAGAAATTTAGTAAAGTTTGAGTAATTTTAAGCATAAGAAAAAACTTTGAAACTATATTATAGTTTTATATAGAAAATCAATTTTGATCGGTCCACCGTTACGGACCAAAACCTGGTGGACCAGACCGAACCAAAGACTAAATAAGCAAAAATTGAGGACCAAAAACCGGATCAAAAAGGGACCGATCCAATTTAGTTTTAATCGAATTTCGAATCATTTCGGGTCCAGACTGGGTAATGACACCCCTATGTAAAAGCGTCTTGAGGTAAGAAAGGAAACAAAAGTTTGTCGAGCCAAAGCCAAACAGAACCTAGGAACAACAACGAAATATGCCAAGAATGACAAACGAACTACCAATTCCTTAAAATTACCAATTGTTTCTAGCTATTATAATAATTGCATATGGTATTTCAAAAAATTAAAGGACGAACCCCTTTCTTGTCGGAGTTGTCGTATCTTATTTTGTAGAATTTTTAATTAATTTTTAAATAATGTAAATTTCATTTTTTTATTTCTTTATCTACTAATTTATAAATAAAATAATTTTAAAAGAGATATGTTTTGCACGTCGTTCAAAATATTACTTACATTTTTGGACGAAGGGAGTATGCATGATTTTTCTTTTAGGCTTCTTAAAAAATCTTCTAAATTTTACCCAAATGATCACATATATTACTTTGAAAATAACTTAAATGAATCATTGTAAATAGAGTTGGTAATCAGATCAATCAGATTAGTTCCGATTTGGAATAATTCGAATAGAATATCTTTCGGATATATGTTATAATCAGTTCGGTTTGAAACAGTTCGGTTTAATTTTGGTTTCATATATTTTTCAATTCTACGTTAGTTCAGATCTAGTACGGATGTCTATCGGTCCGAAGCAATTTCGGTTTCGAATACATTCCGTTTCAGATATATTTCAATTCAGATATATAATTCGATTTGGGTATATATTTCGGTTTTAGTATGTTATTTTCGAATTAAAATTTAATTATATGTTCATTTATTATCACATCACATTTGTCAATCTAGCTAGTATCAATTTATCACATCATATTGTTTTATACTTCCTTCGTTCTACATATTTCTATGTTTACCTTTTTAGTCACCTTTAAAAATTTGGATGCGAGTTATGAAAGAAAAATATATTTTGTTCTAATATAAAAATTCATATAACTGGATTACCAAATCACATACAATTTGGTTAAAATATGTTGAAATTGAATGAAATTGAATGCAATTAGATAAAGTTGAGTAAAAATAAATGCAATATTGCATGAGAGGGGGTGAAACAAATATTTTTAACCGTGCTTTAGTTTGTTTGAATTTTAACTAACATTTTTAATGTAAGTTGTAATGTTTATTTTTATATCAATTTATAAAAAAATAAAAAATATGAAATTTTACATTTTATTTAGATATGATAATTTATTTTTGACATAGGAAGTAAGTAATATAAGTATATAACTAGTTTAAATGGTAGAATAAAAATAAAAATTTGAAACCAAATGCAATTGTTCACTAATGTCTATAAATATAATATGTTTATTGTCAGACAAAATCAATTTTTGATATATTCAGTTTCGAATCTTATCGGCTTTGAGTTTCATCGGTTTTAGATCTAATCGCTTTCGGGTCTTATCGGTTTCAGATTTAACCAGTTTTAAATCTAATCGGTTTCGGTTTTAAATCAAGTGTGGATATATCTAGTTCGGTTTCGGTTCGGATCATTTCGGTTATTCGGTTATAAATCTGATCTTCATTTTTCAGATAATTTCAGTTTCGGTTTTGGATGATTCGATTCAAATAGTCGGAACCGAGTTCGTTTTGCCAGCTCTAATTGTAAACCACAATAAGAAGATAGATTTGGGACAGAAAAATTTTTATTCTAAGTGTTGGTGTCCTATTCGTAGTTTTTGAACTGTTCATATTCTTTGTTTCATTCAAAAACTATGAACACAAAAAAGAACTATTTTCTTATTTTTCTAATTAAAATTGGGTTCTTCTACTCTCATTTTCTATTTCGTAGTACTTTTCAATATCCATACAAAAAATTATTTTTTGTATCTTTTTCTTATCTTATCTTCTATTCAATTTAGAGATGTAAACAAATCAAATATTTTTAATTCGGTTCGTGATTTGTATTCGAATATTGATGGAGGATAACCCCACGTCAGCCTAGGTTTGACATTGGCTGGCCCGCGCGTCTAGTTGAGGGGCCCAGGCTCAGCTCGGCAAGTATGGGCTCGCCCCATAGACTCTGCTCGCCTGATACGAGCACAGCTTGCCCTGATGACATGACCACACCTCGGCTCGAACCACGAGACAGCGACGGGAGGAGAGCGACTGGCGATGGAAACCGGGCGATAGCGACTGGTTGAAAGGGACTAGACACCAGAGGGTCAGATGACGTCCGCTAAGCGACGAATATCGGTCATATGGTTTGACTAATTGTATCGTATACTCTATAAAAGGGACGAGGTCCCCTCATTGTAAAGGATCCGATTTTTTAGTGAATATACTCCTACTTTGCATTCTCTCTCTCTAAACTTTACAAAATTTGCTTAGTCAAGATATTCAGTGGTTTATCACCATCAAATTGGTGCTCTCGTTGAGAGAAGAGAAACATACTCGTAGGTTTACTCCCGAGAACGAGAATGGTGCAAACAAGGAGCTACGTCCCCATCACTAGCCACGTCGCCGGCGAGGAGAATGGTTCGGGCAACGGTAATGGCACTGGAGGGATTACCTCAGCCCCCGACGCGGTCCAGGCGCTGTTCAGTAAGGGGTTGACCGTGGAGCAGCTCCAGGCTGCCGTAGCGGCCCTCTCTGCCATTGGCGAGAGTGGACCCGGCACCGAAACTACCCAGGCCCCGCGAGGACCTAATACCGAACACGCTTCCACTTCCCATCATAAGGGGAAGAAGACCCGAAGGAGCCGGAGGAGGCCTGACAAGGCTCCAGTGATCAAGGAGGTGCTGGTCGAGGACATTCTAGAAGGGGAGGATGACGAATCCAGCGAGTGTCAAGTATCGGCCTTCAAGCGCCTGGGAGGTGAAGAGACTCGCGTGTCGGCTTTCAACAGGCTCAAGCGGGGACAAGAAGGTTGTCCGGGTGACCTCCGTTGACAGATTTCGGAGGGCAGGCGAAGGTACGCCGAGGAGTCAGCAACATCGAACGCACGCTCGGAAAGGCCCGAGCGAACCGATGGCTGACGAGACAACCAGACTCAGCGTCACCAGAGTCCCACGCGCGAGGACCGAAAAGATAAAAGGCTCGGATCACGGCATGTCCAACCTTGCGTGCGAAATCTCCGAGCTCAAGCGCCGCGTAGAAAAAAGAGCGCCTTACAGCCAGCCTTCCTGATGACGGTGACTCCGTTCACTCCAAGGGTTATGTCGGTCCCGCTGCCACCGAACTTTGGGCCGTGGCAGATTAAGGCCTACAATGAAACGACAAACCCTCAGGATCATCTGTCTAAGTTCTAAGCCTCAATCGAGGTGGCGACAGCACCGAACGAGGTCAAGTATCGCTGTTTGCTCGTAACGTTGGAGGGCTCCGCGTGCAATTGGTTCAACCGAATCTCGAAGGGGACCATTGATGATTGGGACACGCTTATGGAAAAGTTTCTAACGCACTACGCGGCCAACAAGAGGCAAAGGCTACCATACTCCCACCTCCTCAACATATGCATCCGCAAGGGAGAGAAGGTCCGAGATTTCATAGTTCGGTGGGGAAAAGAAGCCAGGGACGTACACGATGTGGATGACCAGGCCTTGGCAGCGAAGTTCCAAGCGGCCTTACCTCGAGGAGAAGTGAGGAAGGAGCTCCGCAAGAATCCCGGATGACATGACCACCTCGGCTCAGACCACGAGACAGCCGACGGGAGGACAGCGACTGGCGATGGGGACCAGGTGATAGCGACTGGTTGAAAGGGACTAGACCAGAGGGTCCGACGACATTTTCTAAGCGACGAATATCGGTCATAGGGTTTGACTAATTGTATCGTATACTCTATAAAAGGGACGAGACCCCCTCATTGTAAAGGATCCGATATTTGAGTGAATATATTCCTACTTTGCATTCTCTCTCTCTCTCTAAACTTTAAACAATTCGCTTAGTCAAGATATTCGGTGGTTTAGTGCCATCAAATATAATGATTCGAATTGTATTATTCAAATTCAAATATTAGTTTTGATTCGAATATTAAACAAATACAATTACAAATAGGAGTATATTCGATTCGGGTGATATTCAGATATTCGAATATATGTATACACCCACAAACCATGTTTCAACATCAATAGTCAAGTAAACTAATATAATATAAAATGTATTTAAATTACTAAGCTAGAATTCAACAAATTAACGTATCACAAAAATCTAAAGCATATGATTTTTAGTTATATTTTATAAAATATAATTAGTGTAAGATTAAAATGTATAAATGTTTTTAGATATAGTATAAGAAGTATCGTAAGTTAAATTATTCAAAATTTATGCCGGTCCATCATATAGATTTTATTAAAATATTCGTTTAGGATTCGTTAAGTATTCGAATATTAATCAAATAGAAATTCAAATCTTATTTTTAATTCGTATCATATTTGGATTCGAATTTAGATCCAAAAAAATTAAACAAATATAAATTCAAATATCTCGATATTCGCTTTGATGCGGTTCGTTTACATCCCTCTATTACGTACTCCGTAGTTTTTATCTTTTCTCAATCCCGAACCCCAAATATTGTTAGCGGCCCATATCCATCGTTATTCGTATTCGTAGCAAGCCGGCCCGGTCCGGCCCGTCTCTACCAGATCTTCTCCCCGCGCGGATTACTTTCCGGTCGTCGTCTCCGGCTTCGATGACTTCTTCTCTCGCATTCCGGTAACATTTTTTCATCCCTCGCCTCCAATCTTTATTCCTCTATCACATTTCGACGACCAGAAACCATTTTCTCCACCGGAAATCTACAAATCACAATGGATCCCTGGATTCAACCCACAAATCACGGTGGAATCCATCCGGATCCGCGATGAATTTGGACCGTAACTAGCATCGGACACTCTGTCTTTCTACAGAAACGAGTGGAACTCAGGCTTGGAGTTCTTTAATTGGGTCAAATCTCAGCAGGGGTTCCAAAGCAGTATTTCCTTCTCCCATTCGGTTGGTGCATCTTTGTGTCAGTATAAACATGTGATTGAAGCTCGAGAAATGTGTTTTGGGAATGGGGAAGACAATAAGGGCTTCCTGTGGCAGGACACTGAAAAGCCAATGCAAGAGAGATACTGGAGATGCTTGAGAGGATGGCTGAAAAAGGAGTTAAACCCAGGTTGGATACATGTGTGATGCTAGAGGTATTTTAGTTTATGGCAAACTAAAAGTTATTCATATTGGTTTTTAGTTTATTCTAACTCTGGTCTTGATAAGTTTTAAAGGTATTTTAGTTTATGGCAAACTGTATGTAGAGAGAACAGGTGGTTATTTAAGTAATTTATATTTTGTGCAAACTATGCTTTTGCCATCTGAGACAACATAGGATTTATCTTCATATGGTGAATTGGCTGAAATTGTTGAATATCTTGTGGATAGAAATCTTTTGGTAACATACATTGCAGCAAAACAAGAAAACATAACCTCAGTTTTTGTAGCGCACACACACACACACACACATATCAAATCGTACTAATATACATCCAGCACTTAGACAATATGAATTACAACCATCATCTTAAAGGAAGATGAACCACCAGAAGTGTAATGGGCTATTTTGCATCCCCATCTGCATATGTATCAGTCCTTGGAAGACTCTAACCAATCAAGTTGCACAGGTTTTGGAGAATAAGGACGAGTGGCACGTGGCTGCATCCAACAACAACTCAATTGTTCTTTCGTCCCAAAAAGATCTTTTTGAGAAAAGTTGCTCCCAAATGTCTTGAACAAACCCGTCTCAAGACAATAGAACACAATGTATTGTTTGTGGAATCTCGGGAGGTAAATCTTATTCTCCATCCCCTCTATAACTTTCTCGGCCGCAAATGATGAATGTTCGCTAAGAAACAACATGTAATCCCCCAAACACTCCACTTTAACCCATTCCATTTTGTCCCTCTCGTCCAATTCAAGAACACAAATGTGTTTCCCCATGTAAGACATATACACTGCCATTAACTTCCCTTTGCATTGCACCAAGTAGCTATCATACGCCTTGCCAAGCTCGGGGGGTAGACCTGAAACCTCGTGAAATTTCCAGGTTCGCCCTTCAAAATCAAACACTCTCAGGCTGCCTTCCATGCCCAAGACATACAACTTGCCATTGTGGAGAATTGGAGAGCATTGGGATATAAATCTTGAGGTTTGTTGTTCTACGCCAGAGAAATCCTCCCAAGTCTCTTTTTTGCGAGTGATGGTCAAAATATGATTCCAATCATCACAATCAACCCCGAAAACAACACAATCCGGAGAGGTTGGTTTGGACAAGAAGATTACACTTATACTTATGTCCATTCCGCTTATACATGTGTCCTCAGGTCTGTCGGGCAAGTCCACTCTCTCATTGGTGAAGGGGTTGACAAAGAAAGTTTCTTGAATTCCTCTGCAAAACAGAAGCCAGCCGTTGTTGGAATGTGCCAAACTTGCAAGGGAGAGCTCGGGGATGTCAATGCAGTGTGGGCCGTGGCCATAAATCGGGTGGAACAACTTCAACACAGTGCTGGTGTGAGTGTCTTTGTGGACAAGCCATTGAGATGGTACAACGGGACAGGTTAGGGGGTTGTGGTCTTTAGGATCTTCAAGTGAGCCCCAAGTTTTGCACACTTTGTGAAAGAGTTTGGCATCATCAAGACAGAGATGTTGTAATATTTGTGTCAAAAGCTCGCTTGGAAGACTTTTCCATGCCCTATAATGGTTCCCATCAACTTCTTCTTCTTCTGCTCTTTTTCCTTCCAAATCATCCATGTTCACATAATCTTCCATCTAAGAACGCCAAAACGCAGTGCAATGATTCTTTAGTAAGCGAGGCTTCAAACTGTCTATATATATATTTAATTAATTAACGGGCTCACCTGGAAAGAAGAAATTGATTTCGCCTTTGCTCAGTCTGATATGGGAATGAAAGATGAATAAGAAGGAGCTGTTGATGGGGAAATATATATATACATACTGTACCGTGTAGGAACTGATCGATTAGCAATTAATAAATTATTGACAGCTTCTAATAATTGATCAAAAAAGTTGGAAATAGGCAGCTTCTTGTTTCTCTTCAAAAATCTCCAGCTTCCAAAATTCGAACTACACGGGGTATGATACTCGTATTTAGTAATCTGTACTCGTTCTATCTTAAAATTTACTTTCCATATTGATTTTGGTGGTCAAATGTTTTGAACTTTCGAATTATACAGAATATATATGAAGGTATTCAGTAATTAGTACCTTTGATTTTCGTGTCAATATTTTTTAACTTTGATCGCATGTTACAATATGAGTTTTTATACAAATTTAATATCAATAGATTTGTTTTAAAACAAAATTTTAAAATACACTCTGTACTATTTTAATAATACATATTTATTAAATACAAATTTAATATCAATGCGGTAAGAGGATTGCTTCTACTTTGCATTGATATTATATTTATTTATCGATCAGAAACTTGTGCAGATGATAAAGAATTAATTGCAAAATAAACAACAGGGAGTAATTACTCTTTTTTGAATCTGGATGTCATTTCCACTATTAAAAAAAGAGTAATGAATAAATTTAACAAGTGAATAGTTAACTGGCCATGGGCATTACCCAATACCCACGGGTGATGTTTGGAATAACACTGGGACAAACCAAACGAGTGGTGATGGTCTTCTCTTCCATGTCGTACACGCACAAAGCCGTCATTCCAACTTCAGACGGAAGAATGATGTAAACTGTGTTCTCTTTAACACACTCATCACCATTATTAGCATTCGTCGTGGCTATGGCTGATGATGATCCATTATTAACGGTGCTACACGAGAAAGAATTCTCAATACTGATGAAAAACACCCGGTGGCCACCCAAATCATTCACTCTTGTCCATTTCAAGCTCTGAAAATCCAATTTGTACACCCAAACGTCAATGATTTTGTTTTCGTCCCGCTGGCCATGGAAAAGAACGACCAGGTAGAGGTGGCTTTGAGATTCAACCAAGTAGTTTCTCCCGAACCACATATTTCTCACGAGCAGAGGATAAGGATAAGGGATCTTTCCAATTCTCTTTTCTCCTGGTAACAACAATGGCCTCGTTTCCATTCGCCCGTCTTCATCAAAACTCATCTCCATGAGTTTTTTATGCTTTCGGTCAAGGCAATAAATCTTGGTCCCGCAAAGGACAGAGTAAGTAAATGGCCGAGGGCGATCAAACTCTTGTTCCCTCCACTGCGGCTCTTTTGTGCCCCCTAGGCGACACCACATGGCGTGTTCGCCAAAACTTTGGAAGAACGCGACTACACACGTGGGGTCCCCGGGAGGCGCGGTTAGGATGCAATGATACTTGGGTGAAAACCCAACATCACTAATCAAGGGTTTCGGCAACGGAGGGAGCTTGATCTTCTCCATGGAGACGGGGTTTAGCAAAAAACAACTCTTGCTTGATTTGGGGTGCAAGTCCAACATGACTAACCAGCCATGAGAGCTGCTGGTGCAGATTTGCGAGTTTGACATGTTTGGTATCCTCCTCTTCTCCCATTTTCCTGTTTCCACGTCGTAAAAGATCTGTCCCTTGTATTGTTTTTCATAGAAATATACAATCCATGGATATTGGTTGCGCGGTGGTGGTGGTGGAAGACGAGCTTTCATCATGTTTCTACCTTGTCACCTGCACCTGCATTGAATTGAAAGAATGCAAATAAAATTCAGAATATTTCCTGCACGAGATGTTTGATAGGATGGCTGAAAGAGGAGTTAAACGGAGGGTGGATACTAATGAGTAAGTTTGAATCTGTTTTCATATGGTTAATTGGCTGAAGTGCTTAGTTTGCTTGTTGTGAGTTGATTGTGGCCACTAGATAAAACAAGAAAACATAACCTAAGTTTTTTTAGTACATATATATGTGCAGGATATTGAAGTTCAAGTCACAATATATTATATATAGTGCTAGAACACTAACAGTATTTCTTGATCTTATTACATCATTTAATTGCAGATTAAGCAGATCACAAAAGCATCTCCCTTTTCAGTTTCATCAGTCCATGGCCTGAAATTTAGCATCAGGTAATTTGATCATCTAATAATTTGCTTCCTTCTATATGAGCAAGGGTTCTCTTAACTAAGGTTATCTTTTTGTTCTGGGTTAGTTGTTCAATTTAGGAAAGTCTCAAACCGCTGCCTGTCGGGTACTTGGGACATCCCGAAATTAAAAAAAAAAAACCGAAACATCCCCGGTCGGGTACTTGGGACATCCCGAAATCAAAATCCTTTATTTATAAAAACAACAACAACCACATCCCAGTAGAATCCAACACTGCATAAAACCAACTGTGTGTGTCTGTGTATGTGTATTTACTACTGGACAAGAATTTGGCATAGGCACAAATAAATTCTAATGTGCACTTAATTCTTCACATAAACACACCATTGTATAGTAAGAAGGGGGGGCTCACCTTTGTATAGAAAGAAGAAACTGTTGATGGACAAGAATTGATTCCGCCTTTGCTCAGATATGGGAATGGAAGATAAATAAGAAGGGGCTGTTGAAGAGGAACTATATATACATAATAATCTACCGTGCAGGAATTGATTAGCTACTCCGTATTAAATATGGGGGGTACAGTATTAGTATTAGTAATTAATTGATCAAAAAGTTGGAAATAGGCAGCTTCCTCTTTCTCTCCAAATCACAAGAGGAATTCATCTCTAAAATTCTAATTATATATGATGGTATTTAGCAATTGGTATCTCTTTCTGTCTTAAAATTAACTTTTCACTTTGATTTTTGTGGTCAATGTTTTTGAACTTTGACCGCATATTACGAAAAAATATATTCCTATTCATTTTTTTATACATTTAATATCAATAGATTCATTTCGAAACATAGTTTAAAAATAAACTATTTTTGAACTACTCTAATCTTAAGTTCACATGTAAAGTATAGACTTTTTCACATATTTTGTATCTACTCATGGTTGGATCTTTTTCATTTTACTAAGTTCAATGGAAACAATCATCTTTTGTATCTAGGTCCATAAAGGCCTTAGAGCACCCGCATTGGATGGAGGAGTAAAGATTGGATTACTTTCACTTCCCTCCTCCACATCAGATTTTGTGCACCCAATATACAACTTCTCCATAACAACGTTCCCATGACATTGGGTTCCAATGTCATGGGATGACCCGAGGGTGCCCCGGTGCCCCGTTCGTAAAATTGACGGTTCCTACCCCTCCTAACCCCCCGGTAAACCCCCCCACCCCAGCCCCGACCCGAACACACCCCCCTACCCCCGTCAATTGCACCCCACAAGTTGATTTTGACTTTGGAGTCAAATTTTAACTCCAAAGTCAAAATCAACTTGTGGGGTGCAATTGACGGGGGTAGGGGGGCATGTTCGGGTCGGGGCCGGGGTGGGGGGTTTACCGGGGGGGTTAGGAGGGGTAGTAACCATCAATTTTACAAACGGGGCACCGGGGCACCCTCGGGTCATCCCATGACATTGGAATCCAATGTCATGGGAACCCCACCCTTACTAAAATATTATTCATAATGTGACTTAATTTTTTTTTTATTATTAAATATTTACACGATTGATATTATGGATGATAATCATCTTTGAATTTGTGCATGCATAAATGTTAATCATCTTTGTACATAAAATTCCATAGGTCACGTGTGGAGTGTTGTAACAAGAATGTCGTTAAACTATTCATTTTTGTCAAAAATATCACTGCCATTTATTTTTTTTCAATAATGTCGTTGAAGTCTCTAAAATGTTCAAAAGTTGGTATGTTACTCAACTTTTATGTTTTGTCAAGAATAGCACTTTTTTTTCTCTGTTTCAATAATGTCATGGAACCTTCATAAAATGTTCTAAAATACCATTTAAATATTATTAAATAAACACAATGCTTTTTCATAGGCAAACTTTTTGTTCCTTCTATAATTAAATAGTATACATTACATGTGAGTGAGTGGGATAGTGAGATGGTGAGTACAGATGTACAGTCAGTGCTGATGTCGCACTAAGTGACTGCTGATTTGGAGTGAACGATGGTGAAGCATTACAGATAGTCTAATTGTAATTCATCGTTTCTGGACTTTACCTTTTTATAAACGAGTGGGGTATGCGGATTGCTTTTACTTAGCATTGATAATCTATTTATTCATTGATCAGAAGAATTAATTTCAGAATAAACAACATGGAGTAATTAAAACTTTAAAGTTGTTCACCATCAACCAATGATAGCATCCAATTATTTAATTTTTACGAAAGCTAAAAGAAACTGGGCAATCCGAGTCCATTGGGCCAAAACAATTCCTGTTTCCATACAATTGGACCTAGTTTTTCTGGACCAAATCCAAAAAGCTATCTGACGCAGTTTACTTTGGGACTGAGGAGGCATTATTTGTTTTTTTTTTGGAAAAGTTTAACACCAACTTATTTTAACAAAAGATTTCCTAAATGTCTAAACATGGAAGGAAACTATCAAAGTTAATAACCTACCCAAATTAAAGTACTTGTCATAAATGAGTAATTAAAAATTTAAAATAGTATGCTTTCGTGAAAAAATGCTTAAAATAGCAGAATTAATTTCATTTCTACTCTTGTTTCATAATACTCCTCTCTAGCTCTAAAGAAATCCCTTCCCCTCTCAAATCAAGTTATAATAACTACATATACATAGTTTATATTATATCATTAAACATTCCTTTAAGTTCTTCAAGATTAAACATGGAGCCAATTGCCGAAGTGGTATGTTATTCTAAACTCTAGCTTTTTATTGCATATTTTACTTTTGTGTTTTTTTTAAAATATGATTGTTTAAATTGGTTTTAATGTTATTATGAGATTTAACCTTGATTCAACTAATGAAATTATTTTCCATCTATTAGAGTTGCCTTTTGAAAATAGATGTGCACTGTGATGAATGCAAATTCTGTTTGATGGGGGTGCTCAGTTCAATTTCGGGTAACAATTATTTTTTTTTATTTGTGTTTAATTTTGATTTTGGACGATTGTTCTTTTTTTCATGTTATTTTCCCTAAATTTTGAACAAAAGAATTAACATGAAGATTTATAATATAGGTTTAATTTTTCATTAAAGTTTGGGGCACATTATTGCTATAAAGCCAAATATCTTTCACTCCAAAATAAACTTTTCAATAGATTAAGAAAAAAATGTTTAGTTGAGATTCATTTAGAAACGAGAGAATTAATATGGGCCACCCAATCAATCAATAAAAGGAATGGGATTTTTATTTTGATTTTTGAGAGAAACAAAAAAAGAAAGTAAAAAGTTTATTTTGGACTGCCAGGGATCTACAAGATACTTTCCAAGTACACGTCAGTTTTTCTTTACAATTTTCCTTAGCATTTCATTCCTTTGTTTCTTGGAAAAGAATGATCTGTAAGGTGCGAAAAGGTGAGTCCAACCTAGGGGTGAGCATGGTACGGTATGGGACGGGATTAAGCTTGTACCGATACCGTACCACATTTATCGGTTCGGTATGGGATTTTACATTGTCCCGATACCGAACCCGAAAATTCGGATCGGTATGGTTCGGGATAAATTATATCGGTTTCGGTAATTGTTCGGGATTTATTTTATACGGAGTATTAAACAAACAAAACAGAACTCTAATTACGAGAAAAAGTCACTCACTCTAAATATTAAAACAAATTCCAACAAAAAAATAAAGCATTGAGTGCTATTCCACCATACAAAAAACTGCCAGTATGTCCACTTAAACAGATGACTTAAACTCTCAAGGTTGCCAAATGTAATGATTGTAATCAGCTTAAACTTGGAGCAACAAGCAACTTCTAAATAATAAAGCTAAAGAAAAACAGTTGCTTTTCTATCAATTGAAACTTTGAGCAACAAGCAACTTTCAATTGAAGAAAAACCTTCTGCACTGCACCCAATTCTGCTTGCTCAGTTAATTAGCAGTAAGTTAGCATTTAGCAAAAAAAATTGCACAAAAGGTTGATAAGCAAATCAAGAGTCCAGGCACTCCAGGGTCCCTAAAAAGGCACAAAATCATCTAAAAAATACTGCTAGTTGCTTGGAGCAACAAGCAACTTCCAACAAATTAATATAAGTGTCTTGACAGTTGACACAAAATCTAGCAAACTAGCAACTTCCAACCCTTTAAGAAAAAAACAACCACAAATGAACAGATCCAATGTTTTATTTATTTATTCATATATATGCTAACAAATTTGGTGGTAGGGTAAAGAGAGTAACTTGTTTCACATGAACTCATAGGCAATCTTATTTGTTTTCATAAAATGGCCAACTCTCAAACTCTACTCAATAGATTTGAGGAAATAAATCTCAACAAAAAGAGAAGGAAAAAATACTCGGCCACTAGCCTTTTTGTTTTTCCTTTTCAAAGAGTTAGTGGAGCAAAGTAATATTATTAATGGATGGATTTGCTAGGCAGAACAATTGGCATGTGTTTGTTTCAACTTTCGGCCAGATTTAATCATCACCTCATTTTCCACCTTATTTTATATTGAATATATGTACCCTCCAATCTACCCAGTAGCACAACAATCAAAGAGACAGAGAGAGGATTGATGATAAAGAACTTAAGAACATGTAAAGGGTCACATGTCGCCAGAAGATACCTGGAAATCTCGAAGTTGAAATTGACCCAAATTGCGATGAAGGAAACCAGCTACAAACAATCGAAGTACTTAGAAATTAGAATTGGAGCTGACTATTGCAAAATGGAGTCTCTGCAACCGGAGGAAGAAGAACAATCAAACTTCTCTCTTACGGGAAATGAGAAGTGATGAGTGAGGATTGAGTCGGCATTGACTATTGAGAACCCGAGGAAGCGAAATCAGTCTAATGATTCGGTACGGGATTTTCGGGATGGGATTAAGTTTATACCCGTCCCAAATACCAAACCGAATATTTGGTTCGGTATGGTTCGGGTATTTTCGGGTTTTTTTCGGTTCGGTCAATTTCGGTATGGGTTTTCGGGTTTTTTGGGATATTTTCGGTATCGGTTTGGGAAATGCTCACCCCTAGTCCAACCCAACCCAAATACACAGAGTTATCGCTCCATAGTAAAACTGTTGATGTGCGTGAAATGTGAGAGCATTGCAAGAACTTCATACTATGCAAATGAAAATAAGATCACTGATACGCGCAAGAATTTCATATTATGCATGACCGTGCGATTGCAAGAAGTTCAATTGTAATGTGTGTAAAACTATTGCTATGTATGTGAACTTTGTCAAACTATATTGTGTGTAAAACTATTGTTGTGTGTGTGTGTGTGTGTGTGAATTGTAATATTTATAGGGGTATATACTGTGGACATTGATGCTGAGAAAGGGACAGCAACAGTGGTGGGAGAAGTGGAACCAAATGCTCTGTTAAGGGCACTGTCAGATTCAGGAAAGCATGCCGAGTTGGTCCGAGTCACCCTAAGGGATCCAAGAATGAACCGAACCGCCACAGCCTACGGGACATCATCATATGCTTCTTCTTACTCTCCTTACTATAACAACCAAACCTATGACTATACCAACAGAAATAGTTATGCTTACAATCCCATTGAATACGACCCATGGAGCACTAGAGGTATGTTTGGGTGATACGTAAGACAATAATGGATAACAAAATGAGTTTGAACAAATATCTAACTCGTGATTTTTTTTCCCTAGATTACTCCCGGTACCAAACAGGCCCTAGGGCAGTCCCAGGATATGGCTATCATCAAGAAGTGAATAGTTACGGGGGATACCTGCCACCTGCTCAATATGCGTCGTCATATCCACTTCCAAGGGTTGATGAGTATGTAGCAGCAGATGCTTCAGTACCTCTCTGCACTGTCATGTGATCTGCTTAATCTGCAGTTATATAAATACTAAACATTTGTCTTTGATCATTATTTTTTTTACCTGATCAAAGACAAGATATGTTTAAGATTTGTATTTCTAGGACTACTTTATATGTATTGTGACTTGAACTTCAATATTGTGCTGATGAATGTACTCCAGAAAACCAAGGCACTGTTTTTTTTTTTGGTTTTATCTGGTGGCCATTATCAACTTACTGCAATGAATGTTGCCAATAGATTTTTATCCACAAGGTGTTCAACAATTTCAGCCAATTCACTCTATGAAAATGGATCCTAAGTTGTTTCACATGGCAATAGCTGATTTTGCACAAAATATAAATGTTGTAAATATGCACCTGTTTTTCTCTGCATAGAGTTTGCCATAAGTTAGGTACCAGTCTGTAACCTAACTCTTAACGGGCATTTGACAATTTCTTATGTGTTAAAAGGTCTAAGTAAAAAATCTTAAATACTTATCAAAATCAGCATTACAATAAGTACAATTAGGGAAAATATACTATTCAACACATAAAGAGGGTATAATGTGGACCCAGCCAACAGCTCTAAGCCTTCAGAATATCAGATAAACAAGATACAGAAAAGGAGAAAACAACAAAAGGATCGGCTAAAACTCTTAGAGGAAAATATGAGGGGATATTCATGCTTTCAGTTTCAATCCAGCGCAAACAAAATGTTGTATCTTCTGCAACTGCATTGTTTATCACCTGGTTTGCCCTCGCTGAAAGTGACATTGGCTTTGTACTGGGTATGTTGCATTTGACTATTCGAGTCAGGAAACGTTGCAGGTTCCTTGAAGTGTCGCACTTTATCTGTCATCGGTTTTTAAGCGTTCACTGAGTCTGTTTCAACAATGATATTCTAGATCTTTCCAATCCTATCCAAATGGCCGAGATTTGAGTATGTGTGTTCATTGATCAGTTTCAGTACGTGTGTTCTTCAATAAGTTTCAGTTTTTTTTTTTTGGAAAAAGCTAAACTGAAAACCAAACTGAACAACTTATGTCAATTATGGTCAGCTGTAAGCCAAAAATCAGATTGCATAAGTTGAATCTAATTGCAAAAATCAATGTCAGCTCACAAAGCCAAGCATTTGTGCCAATTTGGGTTTTTGTTGGTTCCGTTTCCAGTTGGTTCGCCATTAATCAGCCCTCCTGTTGCTGCACATTCCCCATTGGACCCTCCCATTTCTTTTACACTGCACACTCCAGAGTAAGAGAATAGGAGATATCAACCACATCTACTTTTGCTGTCATCATCAGTGTCCCTCGGAAGTACACGTGGCTTGGGTGAAAGCCCTTTAGCCAACATCTCCTCATCAAACTTGCGAGCCCTATCAATCATACCCTTCTGTACAAGAGCATCAATCAAGACATGATAAGCAGATTCATCTGGACTTAAACCATGTTCTTTCATCTTCTCCCATAGATCAAGAACTGGTCTAAGAAACCCCCATCTCCCAAACTTACTCATTAGCATCACGTATGTATCCATCCTTGGTTTAACTCCTTTTTCAACCATCCTATCAAACATCTTCAGTATCTCTCTTGGCTTTTCAAAACATCTGAAGAAACAGTGGTAAGTAGTCACGTTTGGTTCACAACCCTTCTTAGACATTAGACCGAACACCTTGTGTGCATCATCAAACCTCATATTTTCACACAACAGCTTCAAAATTATGTTGAATGTTGTCACGTTTGGTTCACAACCCAGTTCAATCATCTCTTTGAAAAGCTTTACTCCCACATCAACTCCGTCTGAGATCCCAACGGCTTGAATGGCAGTGTTATAGGCCACGACATCTACTTGAATCCCTTTCTTCTTCATCTCCTTGAAGAGCTTCACAGCTTTCCAAGGCTTCCCTCTCTTGCACTGCACATCCATGTAAATGGAATAGGAAAAAAGATCCTTTTCCACTCCCCTTTTATCCATTTCTTCCCAAAACTCCTTACATTTCCCCCACCAGTTCATTTTAAAGAACCCGCGAAGGATCATATTATGGATCTTAGTGTCCAGACTCAAGAATCTCTGATTGTCTTTCCCGTTCCCAAAACACAACTCTTGAGCTTCAATCACATGTTTATACTCACACAAAGCATCAACCAAATTGGAGAAGGAAACACTGTCTTTCAAGTTGAAATCGTCTAACTTATCAAACGTATCAATGGCTTCATTGATAAGGTGAGCTCGAACATAGCGATTGAACATGACTCGAAAAGTAGTGTGATCTGGCTTGGAATCTAAAGAATTTCTCATTTTATATATAAAACTCCAAGCCGTTTCGAACTCGAAATACTTACCCAGAACGCCGATGATCTGATTGTACGTCGCCGTGGTGTGTTGGAACCCCCGTTGAGATTCGGCCCAGTTGAAGAACTCCAAAGCTGATTTCCAGTCATTGCTGTAGCAGGACAGAGTTTCCGCGACTAGGGTCGGGTCAAACTCCTCGGGATTCCGGTTGGATTCCGCCTTGAAAGGAGGTTTATTAATTGAATTCCGGATTCCAGAGTGATTAGTAGATTTCCGGTGAAGATATTGGTTTCTCGTCGGCGAAATGTGATATAGATTTAACGATTGGAGGTGAGATATGAGCAGATGCGATGATGAGATCGGAATACGAGAAGTAATGGAAGAAAGCATTCTTATCCTCATCGGAATCGCATCGCAGGAGACGACGACGTGAAAGTAATCGGCGCCGGGAGAAAATCTGGTAAAGACCGGCCGGCTTGCTCGAATCATAAGTATTTAGGGAGTATTAATATTGGAATAGTTATCGAATCATAAACGAATATTTGAATAATCATACTATGTAATTTATATGATGGACCAACATCAATTTGTAATTTAACTTACGATACTCTTTATACTATACTATATTCCGTATATAAAAACATTAATACATCTACATCTTACACAAATTATATTTTATAAAATATAACTATTAAAAATCATATGCTTTAGATTTTCATGTTACGTTAATTTATTGAATTATTAGTATTTTAAATACACTTTATACTATATTACTTTGTTTGACTTTTGATGTTGAAAACATGGTCTGTGTATATATACATATATTCAAATATTCGAATATCATCTGAATCGAATATATCCATATTTGTATTTGTATTTGATTAATATTTAAATCAAAAATAATATTTGAATTTGAATTTGAATTTGAATAACGCGAATTCGAATCATCATATTCGAATACAAATCGCGAATCGAATTTAAAATATTTGATTTGTTTACATCCCTATTTATATGTACACAAAAATTTAATATATTAAAATATGTTAAAATATGTACCCAAATATTTAATATATTAGAATATATATATAAATTTATTTATTAGAATATATAATATTCGAATAATTTGAATAATAAACGAATCGAATCTATTAATATTAGAATATATAATATTCGAATAATTTGAATAATAAACGAATCGAATCTATTAATATTTGTATTCGAATTCGAAAATAATTCGAATCTAAAATATGATTTGTATTCGGATTCGAATTCGAATATAGCGAATACGAATCATCCTTTTTGAATACGAATCACGAATCGAATACATTTTATTTGATTTGTATGCACCCCTAGTCAGTGCTAACGTACTAGGTGGGAAAAACCGAAAATCGCAAACCGAACCGAAATCAATCGAAACGAGCTAGAAAAAAAACCGAACCGAAAAAACCGAAACCGAATGTAAAAAAACCGAACCGAACCGTTAGTGTTTGGTTCCGTTTTGGTTTTCACTTTGAAAAACCGAACCGAACCGAATAAACCGAACTTTCTTAAATACTTTGCTTTATTTATATGAATATATGTGATATGTAAAAAAAAATCATAGAAAGGTTTATGTAAAAATCATATATTGATACAAAAATATTTTTATTAGATTTATTATATCAAATATTATTCTATTTAATTAATATATAACATATAATTTATTCAATTATAGGTCAAAGGTTAAAAACGAGGAAAATGCTAAAAACCTCTCACCCTTGCTACCAACCATGCCCCCCTACATAAACATGTGGTAGGGCAAGAAAATTAAAATTAGATGGTGGGTGGAGAATGGATAGAGATAAATATGTGGTGGAGAAGTGGGTGGAGACAAGGTTGGTAGCAAGGGTGGGGGGTGTGTAGCACGGTCCTAAAAACGGTCTATCGAATAAAGTTAAAACTATACATATACTTAGGGACGGGGCAGTAGAACTTTTAGGCTCCGTTTGGTACACGGAAATCAAGTCATGGAATTGGAATTGGGGACTACAGTTTCAATTCCATTCCCAATTCCAATTCCATTTTTTGGTATCACAAAAATATGTGGATTTGGAATTAGTAGTGGAAAAAAGTAGTGCAAAAAACGAATTAGTATTGGACAATTCAATTCCTTCCAATTCAATTTCTTAGAATTTTAATTTTAATCCAATTCTAATTCCATCAATTTCGCGTACAAAAATTAAATAAAAACGATATTAGATATTGATACAAAAATATTTTTATTATATTTATTATATAAAAATTTTTTAAAATATTATTTTATCTAATTAATGTACAATATATATTTCATTTAATTATAGGTCAAATGTTAAAAAAGGTTGACCGAAAAAAGTTAAAACTATACACATACTCAGGGATGGAGGTAGTAGAACTTTTAACGTAGTATTTTAATACTCGGTATGTAAATTTTATTTCCTATTCTAATATCAACTAGTATTTTAACCCGTGCAACGCACGAAAGCGAACGAAATTTTTCTCGATTTTAAAATTTTCTTCGATTTCTTAAGAATATGTTCTTTAGGATTCTAATTTTAATGATATGTTTGGTTAAAAACAGTATTTTTCCAAAAAAAATCCAACTCTACTTTTCCATGTTAGGTTGCGCTCATAAGTGGTAGAAACTAATTTTTCTTGAAAAAATAATTTTTCTTCGAAGAGAAAATGTCTTTTGTTTGTTTTAGATAAAGTTCGTTTTTTACTCAACCCTCAAATACTCTGATTTCTCGATTGAGTTCAATTCATTTCTCCCACCCACCCCATATATTCTCCCCCCCTCCCCCCCCACCTGCCCTAGAGAATGGAGCACTATACAGAAGATTTGAAATTGATTGTGTATATAAAACATACCATGCTCCAAAAAAAATTTAAAATTATCTCGAAATTCTTTTTTTTCAAATATCAACAATGTTTTAATAAAATATGTGTGGGAGAACAAATTTTTCGTTCAAATTATTTTCTCCTAGAATAATTGTCTAGACATGTATTCTCCCATAACCAAATGCATTCTTCCAATATTTTCAAACTTTTTCCGTTACTTTCTAACTTCATTTAGTATCTTTCGACTCTTTCTAATTTCTCCCAATTTAATTGTTCTAGCTTTTTCAAAATTCTTTATACTCTTTCTAGTTTCATCTAACCTCTTCTGATTTCTTTCAATAGTGATTTAAAAAGTATTTGCACACAATTTTCATAATAATATTAATAATATCATTACTATTTTCGAAATGGTTCTAGAGCCACTGACTCTGGGGTAAGAGGGTTTACCGGGATGTCGAGGGTAGGAACCATCAATTTTGTGAATGGAGCACCGTATGTAGGTACTTCAATTGAAGCTAATGTCATCCGGAGCCACTCAAGTAGGTGATGTAGAACCCCTCTATATTATCATTATTATTATTATTATTATTATTATTGTTATTATTATTATTGTTGTTGTTGTTGTTGTTGCTATTACTAAAAAAAGTTATGAAATTAGGTATTTTTACTTGTAGGGGTGGCACGATAAGGGTTGACGGTTTGGCAAGGTGGGAATGGGCAAGGGGTAGGGGGTGGCGGGTGGTTAGGGTTTGGTCAGGGTGGAAGGGATTGGTGCATGAGGGTTGTGGCGAGGACGGTGGATTGGGGACATAGGAGGGGGTAGCGGATGGGGGCGAGAACGGAAAGTGAGTATGAATTGTTGTTCGAAAGAACTAATTAAACCAAATGTTCATGCTGGGTTGTGGCACAGAAATGATTTTTTATATCCTAATATGCCCCTCACGTGCAGACGTAGTTCTTTTCGAGTCTTGCACGTGATTTTTTTTAAAAAACTAAGTGACGCTGAGTTTCGAATGTGTGATCTCTTAGTCAACAAGACTCTGGTACGAACTAATTCAAATAAAAGCTCAAACTAGTGATTATGGTCCATGAATAATTTTTTGTATTCTTAACATTTTTTCATGCAACAATTTAGGGGAGTTCTTCAAGATCAATAAGTACTCATGTGGTACTAGATCGACTCTAACAAATTTGGACTAGATCGACTCTAACAAATTTGGTCTAGATCGACTCTAGACAAATACTCCCTCCGTCCTAAAATTAATTTCCCAGTTTGATTTTTGCAGTCAAATTTTTTAAACTTTGACCGTAGATTAAGGAAAAAATACATTGAATTTTCTTATAAATTTATTAGGAATAGATTTATTTTGGAATATAGTTTTGAAATATATAATTTTTATAAAATATATTTATATAAAAATTGAGATATTGGTAGTCAAAGTGTCGGATTGGAGACCGTGAAAAGTCAAATGAGAAGTTAATTTTAGGACGGAGGGAGTAAAAAAATTAAGTGAAATTTGCACTGAATAGAATTAAAACATAAGTAATTCCCAATGTAGGACTTAAACTTTTATATTCCTTAAATAGGACTTAATATTGACTAGTGAAAAGAATAATGTCCAAGTGATGCTGGACATTTAGTTGAATAATAACTAATAGATAATGACCAATGGTCCTATTGAGAAATAAAAACATATAGTCCTATATTGAGAAAGACATTATGTTTTAGTCATATTTTGGTAAATTATCCAAAAATTAAATCTAGATAGAGGGAATACCAAGTTTTTTTACCTATCCTAGTGTTCACTCCGTATATTTTTCTCCCATTAGGGTAAAAGAATTAATGACATTTATTTTCTCAGTGTTTCCAAGGCATATAATGATATAAAGTCGTATAATCGTGGCATAAAATTGCTTTTAAACATTGTGTTAAATAAACACTTAACCTAAGAGTCTAGAGATCAGAGGTAGAATTCCATTAAACTAAGAGGTATATTCAATTGGGATTTTTAAAGATTTTTTTGGACTTTAAAAAGTCTAAGGATTTAGAAATTCCATAGACTCCATACAGAGTTTGACATACTTTTATATTGATTTAAGTGGATTTTGGCCTGACAAATACTCAAAGCAATTCTGTATGTAATGTCCATGGCGAAGCACAAATACAGAATTCAATTCGCTGACCTCCACTGTCCGACATCCACAACAAAAAGATGATTCATTGATTTCGACATCTACTGGGATTCACTTTCTTCTAGTTTGGTTTGAGAACAAAGATATTACATATTAGATGGTGTATTGGGGTGAAGTCTCGCAACTCAGAAGCCTCGCGACACAGAGGGGTGAAGGTCATCAGGAAGAAGATGAACAGTGTCATAATAAGGTCAACGTCCACCGCGTCGTACAGAGATCGTGAAAGAACGATTCCTTCAATGGATGTGATCGCCCAGAGATGAGGAACACAAATCCAAGATCAAAGTGGAAGGAAACCAAGTGAAGAAGCTCAATTAGTCTTGGCTATGGTGACGGGCTACTGTAGAGAGAAGTCTCGGTCGTGAGAAAGAAGAGTCTGACAAAATCTCATGGTTGTTTGTGGGATTTGGAACCTAATAAACAAGGCA